ATCCAAAATTATACTTTTTTAGGCAAAAATAATGTAGTTTACATGTAATAAAACATTGTTAGGCACAAAAGACAACCACTAGTATGCAATGCATTTCAGACATACTAATCCTAATGCTTTAAGACTGCTTAAGAATTAGACTTAGACTACTAAGTAGGATTTCTTATGCAGTTAATTACAGTTATATGCACAATAAGAAAGGCAGCTAATGAACAAATAGTACAGTTTTATAGGTCTTCTTTCAACAAACCGGCTGTATCCCACCGAAACAGTTTTTTAGGTGTGACTTATTATTTCAAACTGATTCAGTGATCTTCAGTTCTGTGTAGTGATTGGTATGCAAATTAGTCACACATAGCACAGCCATAAGCAGGTGAATAACAACAACCACAGCCAAATAATCTGTAATTGTAGGTAAGAATTTATGATATTGTATAAAAAGGAAACGTTTGTAATAGTTTCTCCTGACATAATAGTTTTGAACACAAATTTTCTGAGTACAAACTATATTTGACATTTAATTTCTTCAAAAGCCTCTTATAGGCTAATTGTTTCTTACAGTGAAAACGTGAATGATAATTTATGAAATCATAGGGAATGTGTATATTCATTATGTTATTTTGATATCTTAGTTTGACGGTGATTTAGATAGTGCTGTATCACTTATGTTAGTTTGTCAAATTTTGCTGGATTTTGAAGTCCTTTAACTATGAAAAATATAAAAAGCAAAACAAAATCAAAACTGCTTCTCTAATATGTGTTACATTTTTTTAAATAAATAATCCTGTACAGTATATTGTACATTACAGGTGCATAATTACTTATGGGAGCTGGCAAGATGTTGGAGTGTGAGCAGGGTAATATTTTGTGAAGGAATTCAGGGAAACTGGTTAGCCGGTTTCCCTGAATTCCTTCCCAGAGATGGGAAGTACAGTGCCTTCACTTTAAAGGAGGGTTTTGGGATATTGGCTGTTTGGAGGGATGTCTAAACTGTCGTATCTGAGCACCTCTGCAAAGACAGTGATTATGTATGAGTGATGGTGAAAATGTTGAACAATGATGAAAGATTTTCTTTCCTTTTTTCTTTTTTTCTTTTTTGTGGTCACCCTGCCTCGGTGGGAAATAGCCAACATGTTAAAAAAAAAAAAAAAAATTGCTTATTCTATCTAATGTACATTATTATTTAATCACATTATGTTGCCCTCAAAACTGGGAAGTTTTGAAAATTGGCCCACTCTCAGTACCAAGAATAATGAATTTGAAAGTTTGTACTGTACTTATACTGAAAAAATACTCTTTATTTGCAAGACTTACATTTGTGTATTGCAATATTGTTTTTATTATACAGTGGACCCCCGCATAATGTTGGCATCGCATAGTGTTAAATCCGCATAGCGATACATCTTATAGCTAAAATTTTTGCCTCGCATAGTGCTAAAAAATTCGCTCAATGCGATTCGTCCGAGACACATCCATGCGGCCTGAGCCAGCCTCACTTGTTCTGCCAGTGGCATTGTTTACAAGCCAGCCTCCGCGGTAACATTCAAGCATACAATCGGAACATTTCGTATTATTACAGCCTTTTTATAGTGATTTCACCTGAAAAATAAGTGACCATGGGCCCCAAGAAAGCTTCTAGTCCCAACCCTACAGGAATAGGGGTGAGAATTACTATGGAGATGAAGAAAGAGATCATTGCTAAGTATGAAAGTGGAGTGCGTGTCTCCGAGCTGGCCAGGTTGTATAGTAAACCCCGATCAACCATCGCTACTATTGTGTCCAAGAGAACGGCAATCAAGGAAGCTGTTCTTGCCAAAGGTTTAACTGTGCTTTCGAAACAGAGATCGCAAGTGATAGAAGATGTTGAGAGACTGTTATTGGTGTGGATAAACGAAAAACAGATAGCAGGCGATAGCATCTCTCAAGCGATCATAAGCGAAAAGGCTAGGAAGTTGCACGAGGATTTAATTAGAAAAATGCCTGCAACTAGTGGTGATGCGAGTGAATTTAAGGCCAGCAAAGGTTGGTTTGAGAGATTTAAGAGGCGTAGTGGCATACATAGTGTGATAAGGCATGGTGAGGCTGCCAGTTCGGACCAAAAAGCAGCTGAAAAATATGTGCATGAATTCAAGGAGTACATAGACAGTGAAGGACTGAAACCTGAACAAGTGTTTAATTATGACGAAACAGGCCTGTTTTGGAAGAAAATGCCAAGCAGGACCTACATTACTCAGGAGGAAAAGGCACTCCCAGGACATAAGCCTATGAAAGACAGGCTTACTCTTCTCATGTGTGCCAATGCTAGTGGTGATTGCAAAGTGAAGCCTTTATTAGTGTATCACTCTGAAACTCCCAGAGCGTTCAGGCAAAAGAATATCCTCAAGGCTAATTTGTGTGTGCTGTGGAGGGCACACAATAAGGCATGGGTCACTAGGGACTTTTTCTATGACTGGTTACACCAAGCATTTGCCCCCACTGTGAAAAATTACCTAACTGAAAAGAAATTAGACCTTAAGTGCCTCCTGGTGTTAGACAATGCCCCTGGTCATCCTACAGACTTGGCAGAGCGACTTTGTGGGGACATGAGCTTCATTAAGGTGAAGTTTTTGCCTCCTAATACCACTCCTCTCCTGCAGCCCATGGACCAGCACGTTATTGCAAACTTCAAAAAACTATACACAAAAGCTCTGTTTGAAAGGTGCTTTGCAGTGACCTCGGAAACTCATTTGACTCTAAGAGAGTTTTGGAGAGTGCACTTTAATATCCTCAATTGTGTAAACCTTATAGGTAAGGCTTGGGAGGGAGTGACTAAGAGGACCTTGAACTCTGCTTGGAAGAAACTGTGGCCAGAATGTGTAGACCAAAGGGATTCTGAAGGATTTGAGGCTAACCCTGAGAATCCTATGCCAGTTGAGGAATCAATTGTGGCATTGGGGAAGTCCTTGGGGTTGGAGGTTAGTGGGGAGGATGTGGAAGAGTTGGTGGAGGAGGACAATGAAGAACTAACCACTGATGAGCTGCTAGATCAACTTCAACAGCAAGAGGCCACACCTGAGGAAATTGCTTCGGAGGACGGGAGAGAGAAATTGAAGAAGTTGCCTACTTCAAAGATTAAGGAAATCTGTGCAAAGTGGCTTGAAGTGCAAACCTTCATGGATGAAAATCACCCTCAGACAGCTATTGCAAGCCATGCTGGTGACTATTACACTGACACTGTTGTGAAACACTTTAGGAAAGTCATAGTGGAACAAGAGGTACAAGCCACTATGGGCAGATATGTTGTGCGACAGAAGTCCACTGACTCTGAAGCTGGTCCTAGTGGCATTAAAAGAAGAAGGGAAGCAACCCTGGAAAAGGACTTGACACCTCAAATCCTAATGGAAGGGGATTCCCCTTCTAAACACTAAAACCATCCAGTCTCCCCTCCTCCCATCCCATCAATCATCACCACATCTTCAATAAAGGTAAGTGTCATGTAACTGTGCATGTTTTCTTAAGTTTGTGCATATTAAAATTAATATTTCATGTGGTAAAAAAAATTTTTTTTTCATACTTTTGGATGTCTTGCACGGATTAATTTGATTTCCATTATTTCTTATGGGGAAAATAAATTCGCATAACGATAATTTTGCATAATATTGAGCTCTCAGGAACGGATTAATAGCGTTATGTGGGGGTCCACTGTACTCTATAGCTCCTGTGTAATCCAGATTGGCATGAAAATTTATTTAACTGTACATACTATACTTTACTTATTACAGATAAATATTGGTGTTTCATGTGAAATTTTGATGGCTGTCTTGCTGAAAAAGTTTAATTACAGTAAACTTAATTTAACAGACCTCGATTCAACTTATTTTGGAAATACAAGACAGAATCCACTGGGTTTGTTAATTTACAGTATGTAGACAAAGTTTACTGGTTACAGAATTGTCTGTCATTGTCATAATCACAGCAAAACAATCTCGTCTATTCACCACAATTGCCATTACAGGCAACTCGCTCCCCTTTATTGGTCCATTAAATTGAGGGCCTACTGTACGTGGTACACTATTCTTCTGCTACAGAAACTTCAGAATACAACATTGCAGTGAATAAGTTGGATTCCTGGCAGAGCTTAACAAGTAGGAAATAGAAATTTACTAAGTACAGAATTGAAAAATTTGAAACATACAACTATTTTCTGTTGTAACATGCAGCATTATCCTTTACTTTGTAAATCCATACCCCTAATTTCCAAAAACAAATAAAAAATTTACTGGTAATTTTAGCGACAAATACAATTGAAATCCCAGGCAAGTTTTTTGAAAAGCAGGGAAAGGTCTGTTATCACAAAACATCCATTTAATTAATATTGACTTCTAATACTTTTCAACCTATTATTGTACTATTGTTTATGAAAACTATACTGGCTTCCCTAGACAACCTCTTAAGGGAATTTTACATATGTTTCTTTAGGAATTGCTTGATCAACCAGTTTCCAGTTATGTTTACATCCAGACTTCTAGTAGTGATAGCTCAGGTGATCAGATGATGAAAAAGGAAGCCTAGACTCAGCCTCAATCAAGCTAGAAGAGGATAAAAGCACTTGAAAGCATGTATATATACATGTTATCACATTGTGTAATTGGGTGATGTGTGCAGAGTGTCATCCATGCATTCCTAATTTTAGCATAATTTTGCACACACACACACACACACACACACACACACACACACACACACACACACACAGCCACCCATCCCATTCACATCACCCATAATCTCCTGCTTTCTCTCCCATCACATAACTCAGGTGTTAAGGTTGTAAATGTACACCAGAATGTTTACTTGGCTTTGGAAACAGAGTAGTGGTTTACCACCACCAATTTATTGTAATGATAATTGTATCTTTTTTTTTTTTTTTTAATTTATTGGTTTTGATAAGATTTAAAATTGTTAAATAATTAAATAATATTTTGAATCAAAGTAAATGGCATGGAGGTGTTTGTTTACTGCAGGTCTGCTGAGAGTGAAGTTGTGGTGAAGGTGAGCTGACAACTTGTCTGGTCAAAGGTAGCAACGCTTTCCACCAATCAGTTTGTATCAACATCATGGTGGTATATTCGCCTTTACTTGGAAGCTCATTGTATTTCCTCCACCCATTGAATTTTCTGTGTATTGAAGAGTTAAAGCATCTGATAGTGTGAGGGTGGAGGGACTGTGTGAAGTATACTGGCTGTTGTTTGGGGAATGAATACTGCATCAGCCATTTGCTCACTTTGTTAAGTCTGGTATGTGTTGGTGATCATATTTCACCACTCACACTACCTCTTCGTCAACTACATTAATGTTTGAATATTTCCACCATTATCCCATTCACCTCCTTTCATCCCATTGTGTAATTTTTTGAGTGAATTCTAGCTTGGTATGTTGTAATTTATTTTTATACAATTTATGCATGTCTCTAGGATTGCAGATATCTACTTATTACAGTAGAATTGTATCATTGATCATGTAATATTGTTAACAAAGAAGCCTGTTCAAGATCTTGTATTATAATAAACTTAACAACTCAGTGCCAGTCACATCATGAATGAATAATCTGCATTGTTAAAGTGTAAAATTGATTTACAGTTTTTTGTGCAAATATCCACCCATTATTGTTTGTTGTTGATTTGTTTTGTGTGAAACCAGCTAAACTATATAAGCTGGTTAATTTTTGTTTTAAGTATTTTCTATAAATAAGCTGTCCTAAATAGATTTTTCCATTTGGTTACTTTCATAATATTTTTATATTTAAATTTGGAATACTACTTAAAATGTGATATTATATATAGCAGGTCATTTATTTATATATTTATTATTTAAATCCACTTTTCTTGATAGTTTACAAGAAATTTTGTAATTTGGGAACCAAATGCCTAACATCCCATTAAATTGCTACCTTCCACGACAATTTTTTTTTTTTCTTTTTTTTTTTTAAATTAAATTATTTTTATTTCTAGCTTCATCTAATTATATATAGTTTGAGTTATTCAAAAACAAGAGTAACGTTTCCCATATATCCGGCACCATCTTAATTTCAAGTATTAATCACTAAAGTGATAAGATATTTTTTTCCTTTATGTATGAGTGAGCATTATTTAACACTGCTCCCTGGAGTTTTAACAATATATTTAACTTCTGTTAAACTATTTTTTGATAAGATTTCATCCCTCCTCTGGTTTATTTATTGTGTGTGTGTGTGTGTGTTGTGTGTGTGTGTGTGTGTGTGTGTGTGTGTGTGTGTGTGTGTGTGTGTGTGTGGGTGTGTGTGGGTGTGTGTGTGTGTGGGTGGGGTGGGTGGGTGGGTAGGCAGAGAATGAAAGGGGATAAAGCAACTGGGATTGATGGGATCAAGACAGAAATGTTAAGAGTAGGTGGGGATATAGTGTTGGTATGGTTGGTGCTCTTTTTCAATAAATGTAGGAAAAAGGGAAAGGTACCTAGGATTTGGCATAGTTCCTTTGTATAAAGGAAAGGGGAATAAAAGAGAATGTAAGAATTATAGAGGAATAAGGTTTAGTGCTTCTTTTAATTATAATAATAGAGGAACAAGCCTGTTCACTATATAAGGTAAAGTGTATGGTAGTTATTATTAAAAAAAATTAAGGGTAAGAGAGCAGGATTGTAGATCAACAAAGATGCATTAGGAAGGGTAAGAGATGTGTAGACCCAAATTTTTACATTGAAGCATATAGGTGAACAATATTTAGATAAAGGTAAAGAAATTTTCATTGCAATCATGGATTTAGAAAAGGCATATGAGAGGGTGAATATGTAAGCAGTGTTGCAGTTTTTACAAGTGTGTGGAATAAGTGGTAGGTTACTGAAAGCATTTAAGAGGTTCTATAAGGATAGTGAGGAGTCAGGTTAAGTTATGTAGGAGAGAGGGTGATTATTTCCCAGTAAAAGTAGGATGTGTAATGTCACCATGGTTGCTTAACATATTTATACTAGACGGGGTTGTAAAAGAAGTGAATACTAGAGTGTTGAGAACAGGTATGGGATTAAAATATGCAAAATCTAATACAAAATAGGAATTGTCACAGTTGCTTTATACTGATGACACTGCTTTTTGGAGATTCTGAAGAGAAGTTGCAAAAGTTGGTTGATGAATGTAAAAGAAGGAAATCAAAAACGAATGAAGAAAAGAGCAAGGGGATGAGGATAACAAGTAATTTGAGTAATGAAAGATTGGATATCAGATTGGAAGGAGGGAATATGGAGGAAGTGAATGTGTTCAGATATTTTAAAGTGGACTTGTCAGCAGATGGGTCTATGAAAGATGAGGTGAACCATAGAACTGATGTGGAGCAAAAAAGGTAGATGGTGCATTGAGGCTTCTGTGGAGACAAAGAGGTGTATGTATGAAGCATAGATTGTGAATGTTGCAGTGAATATGAGGCTGGAGGCGATGGGGATGTGTCTGAGGTCAGTGTGTGATGTAAATATTATGGAGAAAACTCATAGCTTGGAGATTAAGAGGAGGTTCAGGGTTAATAAAAGTATTATCCAGAGAGCTGAGGAGTGGCTGTTGAGGTAATTTGGATATTGAAAGAGGATGGAGTAAAATAGGATGACTTAGAGGGTGTATAAATCAGTGGAGGGAAGGCAGAATAAAATGGTTGCACTAAGAAAAGTTGGAGGAAGGGGGTAAAGGAGGTTTTGTGTGTGAGGGGGCTTGGACATCCAGCAGGTAGGTTTGTGTGTGTGTGTGTGTGTGTGTGTGTGTGTGTGTGTGTGTGTGTGTGTGTGTGTGTGTGTGTGTGTGTGTGTGTGTGTGTGTGTGTGTGTGTGTGTGTGGAGGCAAATGATTTTTGGGACTTTGTGAGCTGTTGGGGTGTGAGCAGGGTAACGTTTTGTGGAGGGATTCAGGGAAACCGGTTAGCTGGACTTGAGTCCGGGAGGTGGGAAGTATAGTGCCTGCACTCTGAAGGAGGGGCGGGGATATTTTCGGTTTGAGGGGGATCTGAACTATGGTATTGGCATGCTTCTGGCAAGACAGTGATAATGAATGATGGTGAAAGTGTTTGTTTTTTGGGTCACCTTACCTCGGTGGGAGACAGCCAGCGTGTTAAAATAAAAATATTTGTGTGAGTGCATGCATATATGTGAGCAGGATAAGCTGTAAGAAAGGTTTCACAGAAAACAGTTAACCATTCTTGAGTTCTGAAGGTGGGAATGGTAGTACCTCTGCTCTAAAGGAGAGATGGTGTGTTGCAGGTGGAGAGTGATGTCAACACATTGGTGAGTGAGTGAATGTTAGTGAATGCATTTTCATTGGGTCAGGTCACTGTCTTAACAGGAGATGGCCATTGATGGAAAAAAAAAATCAACACCGGTCATCTTCCACTGAGGTAGGGTGACCCAAAAAAGAAGAAACACTTTCACCATCACCCAGTCCATTACTGTCTTGCCAGAGGTGTGCTGACACTACAGCTCAGATGCCCCTCCAAATTGCAGTATCCCCTTCCTTTCTTCAGATTGTAGACACTGTATATATAATTTTTTCTTTTAACTCAAGGGTAGTCTCCTGCCAGAGCAGGGTGATCCAATGAAGAAAACACTTATCATTGTCTCCTCTTTTCTGTAGTTACAAGTAAAAAATAAAACAAAATGTCAGTTTTTAAGTTTTTTTTGTCACTTTTCTCTGGTTATCTGTCTCCCTAGTGAGACATAACCAGAAGGTTGTATTGTAGTATTAGTGAAAAATGGTATGGTGATACCGACATGATGTGGAAAAAGATGTTTTTGTACAGTTCAGGACATTATTAGAGAACGTGTTTTGCCACGAGTGGCTTCCTCAGTCCTAATGCAGAGAAAGCTAAGAATAAATATACATATATAGGAGTCAGGTGGAAGGCTGCGAGAAAGTAGTAGTGGTAATACAACTCGGGTGAGATGGAGGTTTAGTGCTTTTTGTTTTTATTATAATAAATGTGGTGAGATGGGTTTGAGAAGGACCTCACAGCATCATTACTATTATTACTGCTATTACTACACCCACCACCACTACCCTCTCACAGCCTACCACCTGACTTCTGCCACTATACATACTCATTATTAAGTGTCCTATGGCTCGGTTGATATTGCACTCAGCTCTTATACTGAGTGTCCATGGTTTGATTCCCAGCATGGGTGGAAAAGCTGAGCTGCCCCTGTTCACCTATCAGTAAGTAGGTACTGTACATGGGTGTTAGTTGACTGTTGTGGGTTGAATCCTGGTGGACAGGATTAAAGGACCCCAATGGAAGTAAGACAAGAGTTCCTGATGATTGATAGACTGTATTGGGTTATCTTGGGTGGCTAACCATCTAGGTTAAAAATACAAACAAAATTTTATCTCATTTCTGTATTCAGAGTAACAAAGTCACTCATGATGAAGTGTTCCCATTAATGTCCCTGAACTGTACATAAGTGCCTTTTTCCACATATAGTATTAGTGATCAGGTTACCTACGCCATTCTAACACTAAACTTTCCTCTCATAGTTTACGAGTCAAGTATTACTACATCTACACGTTTCTATCAACTTTTAAACATAGTTTATAGGAGAGTAAAATTTAATATTTATGGATCATATGGAAGTCAGGTGGTCTCTTGCTATATATAAGGCATAGTCACTGTGTGACTGAACTAATTATATTTCAGCAGTTAGGAGTATGAATATATAGATATTTAATAAATTTTGCAATTTAACCTTCTGATAACCCACAATTGTTTATGCTTTCAATATTTAATCATTGCTTTATAATTTATTCCATTTTCTATTGTTAATCACTGATATAATTGATCTGCTTAACATGAAAATGTTTTATATGTATTTAAGTACTGTACTCCATGCCAAAAATATGCAGAAAAAAAAGACATCTTTCTATGTTTAGAAACTAATTCCACAAAGTTGCAATGAAAGAGAATTGCCAATATGAAGGTAGAAGCTCATTATAAGACCATTACTTTATTGGAGGTACAAGCTTGAGTGTATTATTAGTCTTGGGGGCTCTAAATAACATAGTGTCACAAATAACGTTAATTGCATAGGATATAAATATATGTGAAATATATATAATAAAACCTAGAAAATATTGATAACACAAATATTCCCATTGATAGCACAACCAGGAGGAACATTGCCTGTGATGTTTTTGCCAAAGTTTCATAATTTTAGCAAATTTGCCAGCATGATCACTTGTGGTGGTTCAGCATCTAAAAAATATTGTTCTATGCTTTCACTTCCCTTCTCCTTTAATGTAATTTTAGATTCTGGGTTATTTGATGTAAAAGAATATAAATTTCAATCAAAGGATTAGATCCTTGTTCAAAGAATGACTTACATGCAAGGTCTGTGAAAAATTATTTTGTTTTGTCAGCTTAAGAGAAATGATGCTACTTTTCTGTTACTCTGTTAACCCTTGAACTGCCAGTGGAAGTAAAATGAAATTGTATTGTAGGGCAAAAAAAAATTTTTTTAACCAAAAGATCAGCCTTGATTTTACATGTGTTTTAAAATAATGAAAATTGGGTTAAAACTTACCAAGAAATAGTTATTTGAACCACAGTACAGGTGGGGTTAAAACTTACGGCAAGTGAATCGTAAAACTTCAGGCCATTGTGTAAGCCACTGGTCTAGCTGGTTACAGTAAGATTCATCGATCTAGGTGTATTTATGCATGATTGTAAACATAGCATGGGCCCCACTGTGGTCACAGTGGTCACAGTGGGGCCCATGTTGTGTTTACAATTATGTTAAAACGATTTCGTGAGTCAGTTATTTGAAGTTTCTGGAAGTGATCCTCATATGATAACATGGTTGCATCCTACACACTTGCAGTTACATAATACTATTAGTGTTTTGGATATTTTTTTTATCTTTTCTTTTGAAAACATTACATATATGATTAATATATAGTATATTTTTAAATTACTACAAATTTAGTGTTCGGTAACTAATTACGTATTTCCTATTTGAACAAGATTCTACTGAAGTTGTTTGCTATTGTTTTTTGTTAGTTTTCTCATGTTATATACACTGTACACTCACTATACACACAATACGCTCACAGTTCATTATGCCAACTACAGTTGCTCGAGTTCATGAAAATCCTCAAAGCAGGGTTCCATGTACAGTGAAGTTTTGCAAGTTTTACACATGAATCATGTGTCCTTGGGTTTCCTCGTTTTTCTGGTGGTGGTAGAATATACATTACACATCTGGGCATATTTCTTCTCGGTGAAAGGAAGTTATGTAGTACTTC